TCTAGTCTTCTGTGGGAGTTTGGAAATGAAGCCAGCTGCTATAAAACGTCGGCACCACTTGATCCTGTAAACTCACCCTTTGGACTGACTCTACCCTAAAAACACACTTGAATAGAAGCAGTAAATTCAAGGCTGTGGGGCTGCCTCAGGGAAGCTAGAGGCGGAGACCCGGCAGGAGTGGGAGGGGTGAAGGAGCGGTCAGAGCACCGCTGCCGCTCCACCTCCGCCAAGCTGACCCAGCCCCTCTCACATCCGCCCCCCGGGTGGCGGGAGGCAGGCGGTGCTGTGCGCAGGCGCTACCGGCTGAGCCCCCTCCCCACCGCGTGGGGCGTCCCGAGGGTGGGCGGGGCATGAGGCGACTGTCTCTAGCTTCCCCTCCTCCACCCAGCTGCGCCCGCTGAGGAGGCACGAGCCTCCGCCAGACCCCCACACCCCCACACCGCCGGACCATGTACTCAGCCCACAGGCCCCTGGTGTCCCCGTCTGGAGCGGCCTCCCGTGGCCTGGGCAAGTTGGTCAGTAGCGCCTGGGCCCTGGGACTGCAGGGGTCAAGGGGTTGGGGCCCTGAGTGTGGAGGAAGGGTGATGGGGTATGAGGAAGAGAATGGTGGAGGCAGAGTAAAGGGGGAAGTTACAGAGCTCCGCTGGGCCAAGTGGTTAGTGGTGGCAGGTGGGAGTGTAGCGGAGTGATGGGCGTGCAGAGCGGGGAGTGACTGGGGACAGCTGTGGTGTTTAGGTGCGGCATGGAGCAGGTCTGTTGCCATTGGAGGTGAGGGGTGCAGAGTAGCTGGCTTCATAGCGTGAATTAGACTAGGAGCAGGGTGAGACCTGCTGGTGTGGAATAGAGAGGGAGAAGGGGCTAGGGGCCGTCTTTGAGTAGTGGGACTAAGGACAGGTCTTGAGAAGTGAGCGAGGTGCTATCTGCTCAGAACAGAGTGATGTGTTTGTGGTGTGCTTTACAGAGAGGGAGAGACCCAGGAACCTGAGGGGAGTGCACTGGGGAGGCGTTGAGGAAGGGCAGGATGGAAGGATTGTTCCCCCATTGTCTGCTGGGCCCCTTCTTCCCCACCCAGCAGGAGATGAGGAGGCCCTGATGAGAAAGATCTTTATGAAGAGAGGGGCAGGTCCAGGTCTCTAGGGGCTGTTACAGTTTTGGAGGGCCCAGCAGGCTTTTGGGGCTCCAGTGCCCCAGTGTAGGGGATGGGA